CGTTTTGATTTTAACCATTTTTTTAGGCTACTGGTATACAAAAGCACAATTAATTATAAATAGGTTAGTAGCATTGTATTGTTTCATTAGACATCACAGTAAATTAGTTAGAGCATATTTGAATTATAAATAGAACAGATGAGAGTAAAATAAAAATATATTTCAATAAATTAAACCACGAACAAATAAATCATAACAATAATTAATATTTTATTTCATCTGCCATAGGTATTTATTGACTATAATATTATCAAACACCAATTATGGCTAAGCTAAAAATGTTCTTGGACTAGGACTAGGTATTAGTTCATTTTTAATATTTGTATATGCGTATTAATTTGAATAATATTTTATTATTTTTGATGATTTATTAATGATGCATAATTTCCTAATTAAAGAACTAAATCTTTGTCCTTTAAATATCTTAATCTTATTTATTATTATCAATTTATCATAAATTTAAATTCCCTATTAAATAATCCTATAATAAAAATGATGTGTTCTACCTAACACACATATTCATGAGATTTCGATTTTAGTCAATGTATAATATTAAAACAGTTGATTTTTTAGTCATAATAAGAATAAATAATTGTTTTGTAATTGTATTACAATGTCAATAATAATTTTTTTTTTTTATTATTTATAGCATTTATGATTTATTAGAATATATACAATCTGTAATAATAGTTACAATAAGCATTTGAGCGGTAAAAAATATATAAAAAATTTACTGTGAAAGTATGAAGGGAGTAAAGCTATCCAGCAGTAACACTCGACGTGATATTTGTTAAGCTATTTTACATACATGCATATGTTATCATTTTTAGATACATATAAAATAGTATGTAAAAAAAAAATAAAAATACATGTATAATATTAATATTTCATTGTCATATTTTTAAATTGAGATATGTTATTTTAATTTAACGGTTTTAGATTTTGAAGATTTTGTTTTGGACTTTTCTACATTTTGGAGAGCAAGTCTTGCACAGTCTGCAAACAATTCATTTTTTATTTTAGTAATTAATATCCAATCGATGGGTGTTATATTCTAGCTAACTTCCAAAGGAAACATTACAGGAAAACATTGAATGGTTAAATTCAGAGTATTTTGTTTATGTATTCGACGAACGACGATAATTCTACTCACATAGGTTTCTTTAAAATATTTAAATAACTCTTTGGCATCAAGAGGAATATTAAATTTTAAATAATCAAAATCTTTTTTTAACTTACTAGTGGTAAAAAAGTAAATCCGTCTAACATACCTACCACAAAATTCATTAAAAACCTAATCTTCTTCTTATTTGTTTTTTAATTTAATTCTGCTAATTTTTTATGAGTACTTTGGCGTAGATGATAGAAATATCCATTTATTAATTAGATTGTTCTTTTCCCAGCACATGAATAGCATTAAATATTATTTCGTAAATACTTTGATTTTTTTTCCAAGTAAACAGTAAAGAATAGTAAAGAATTCACTATATTGTTCAATTTTTATAATGTTAATTTGCAAAAAATGTTACGGAGTTAACCCAAAATTTCTATCTGCATACCCGTACAAGTCAGTAGCGTAGCCAGAATTTTAAAATGGGGAGAAGGCCAAACCCAAAATATTAAAAAAACATAATCAATAAGACAATAACTAACAATAACAGTTCATTTTAATATTAAGTTGATATGGCCCATTGATCCTCACCAACCATGGCTACTCCACTGACCTAGGTAATTTATTTATTTATTTATTTATTCAGCCAAATCAATTATAGTTAGGTACCTACATAGTTACAATAAATTACATAAATAATAGTTGACGCATACAAAAACTGAGTTATAAGATTGTATCTGGTGTATGGAGTTCATGGATATCATCATTCAATCACAGTAAAATACTTATATACAATTACACAATAAAGTAATACTTAATTAATTAAATATAAATATAATAAAGTAAATAGATATTCGAGAATAGGATTAAAATCAGGATTACGGCATATTATATTTATAATAATATAATAATGTAATAATATATTCCTGATACATTTCATTGCGTTTGTTAAATATATTGACTTTTTATTAAGATTATTATATATTTTATGAATTAATTTTTTTATTTTATTTTTATTAATTATATCATTGGAGTTATTAGATTTATTTTCGCATAAACTTATCATTAGACTCTTTACTTCATTATTTAAATTGTTGAAAATAGTTTTTCTCGTGTAATCAGAAGAGTACCTAGAACTTGTTACAACGGTTTAATGTATTTTCCTGTTTTTCTGTCTATTATTCCCATAGCATTTAGTGTATAGTTTTGTATAGATTTTATTAAAATTTACCTTATGTATAATTTATAAACAGATAATATATTTGTATTGTTGAATAATTCCCTTAAAGGGTATTTTAATAGAAAGAATTCCCTAGAAAAAAAATTGAATTACTTTCTACACCAAAATTTTTGCATCTTTATTATTTATTGTCTATAGACGATTTAATATATATTTTAGATTTTTTGGGTGCCGAATTTTCAACAAGTAGGTAGCGAAAAAGTAGAATTACGACTTCTATCAAGATCTATTTTAAAACAAAAATTAAATTGAGGACGATAACGATAGTGATCTAGATTTTATACCTAAACCTTCTAATCCTGAAAAAAGATCACCAGCTGTTATAACGCGTTAAAAAAAGAATCCTTTTTAATTTTCATATTAAGTCGTTTTTGGTATCTTTTCATTATTTTCACTATCATTATCAAACAATAATCAAATTTCATTTTCGAAAATGATTCATTCACCTACATATTATGAATATATCACCTATATTATTGTATTGATTATAAATGATATATTAATAATGAAAGATTATATGCTATTTTATAGCTTTTTAACCCATCAAAAAAATTAAATAAGACTATGTTCACCGCCTGCGTTAACTACAACTCCTTTAAAATTTTAAAAACTGTTAAGATACTTATTTGCTTAAATCCTTAACTTATTACTTAGGTACTTATTAGTTATTAATTGTTATATAATTTATAAGGAATTTTATGCAGATCTCATTAAAATGATCAGTTAAACGTATATTAAATTAGTTGACTAGTTTGATTCAGACAATCGTAAAAAACTGAAACAAAATGCGAAATTTCGTTAATATTTTGATAATTACGATTTTAGAATTATGAAATTATGAAATTATAAATAATTGTCATGGTTCCGCTAGGTTACTGCTTAAATTTCAGGTATATTTGATACATTTGAAGTTAAGTTCATTGCTTTCACAAATCTTAATATTTAATAATTTAATATTTAAATATTTCAGAATTTAAAATGTAATTACTAATTACTGATTATATTATTTTATAAACCTTAATATACTTATTAGTTAAATATTCGGCCATCTTGTTGTATGCGCTCTACCGTAGATCGCGGTCTACCTGCAATTACGGCACGCTTGTCGTATGCGCTCTACTACCCAATTGATCTTTACTATCGTGACTTAATGCTAATAAAGATTATCACTCTCTTTTACTGCATGATATAATTTTTGATCGTGTATTTAGTCATTGGCCGACAGTTCTTGGGTTTATACGGTTTTTATTTTCACTTTTCAATATGCTTGCAAAAGAATTTTATACCATAATTCAAAACGAAGAATCAGCTACTAATTTTTTAATTTCTAAAAATCTTTTAGTAAATGCAGAAAATATATTATGCGATAAATGTATCTATGTATAATCTATAAATTGTAATCGTAATCCGTACCGGCCCAGATAATATTATTATCTTCAAAATTATCTAAACTGCGATGTTTGTCGGAATAAAATAAATCTAAAAATACGCGGTTCCAAATATTCCTATAGTTCGACTTATCTGTATATAAAATTAATGCTTTTACCTATCACCTGTGTAATATATGGTGTAATAAAAATAATTACTTATATTACAATTAGAGTGGTGAAAACGGTAGAGTGCAATCAAACAGTCGCATACTGCAGTCGTAATGTCGCCAGTAGAGCGCATACAAGATAACCAAATATTCATCATTATTTCTGACGCTTCAAAATCCAAAGTAAATTAAACCATTAATATTGGAATACTTGATTATTAGACGTTTTATTGGTGCACAAGAAATATAAAATTCAAAATATAATTCTCACAAAGTAAGATTTTTTTTTTAAGTATCTAAATATTTTTACTCAAATAGGTATTTTATAACACTGTATATATGCATATTTAAAAATTTACATTATTTACTAGTTATAGGTACATAAATTTGGTTTTATACAAGTATACTATATAACCGAACTGTTGTACACTATTAATAATTATTTAAACATTACAAACAAATGTTTCAATATTTCAATTATTATAGGTTCATCTCTTGAGCAATGTAACCATCGATTATATGGCCAGCTTTTCTTAGGAAGGTCACTATGCGATCAGGATTTAAATCTTGAGCAAGTTCTTCGAGAAACTCTCTTATAGCTGCTGTGTTCTGTATCCGTGCGTTAGTTGGTACACCGTTACGAATCTGTTAAAATGTTAAATAATGAAAAATGAAAACCATATAAATTTTTATTTCAGATAATGAATTGATATATATTCATTTATTGTTATTTATTTCTTACTTTTAGATTTTGCATCACTTGTCTAAATTCAATATTATATTGATTCTCCAAGAACAGTAACTGAGCTGTAAATAATTGGGTATGTAATATGTATTACTTATTTTTATGTTATAATTAATTTTAATTAGTCTAAAAATTTTTAATTTTTCAGTTTACTTACCTTGATATTGAATGTAACTATTATTTAACAAACATTATGCATACCTATTGCACATTGTACATAATTATTTCTACTATACATAAAATTATAAAAGCATACATTTTTAAAAATCTAACTATATAACTTTAACACAATATAATACATATAATACTTACTTGACATAAACATGAAACAAAAAAAAAAACAAAAACATGAAGTAATGATACAATATTCTATTTGCTATCATACAAACTTATTCTTACATATGAAATATATCATACTTACCTAAGACATAGATACATATAACTTTAAAAATGCCATTTTACTTCTTCTTACTTCATTTGTTCTTCAATATTGAAACATTTAACCAACATATTGAATATCTAAATATACTTGCCATCAATAAGTTAAGTATTCTTTAAACTTTAAATTAAGTTAAAACATGAATTTTATCGTGCAACATTTAGAAATAACATTAATTTTTCCTAAAATAGAAAATACTTACCCCTATAAATTAAACCCAAATTATGGTCTACAAGCAAACACATAAATACAAGTTAATAGTTGAAAATAAACAAATATGACAAAAAGCAAAAGATGCAAAATTAAAGTAGTTTAAATCATACTAAGGAATTCCCAAACTTTAGGGTGTGGTTTAATAAGTTTCAACATTGAAGCATGGTAAGTTTCAATGTAATTATTGGTCCTTATGTCTTGATTAAACACAGATATTGCTGACGGTCCCAATGTGTCAAACCAATATTCCCAAACATAATTGAACAAGAAATTTTGAAGTTGTGCTGCTATTTCTGGGTATTGATTGACATATTCAATAATTGAGTAAAATCCATCTACCATTGAGGGAATGATTTCCCCTTGCCGTGTTGCTGGCAAGTACGGCAAAGCAAGAATCTTCAACAAAATAAAAAGAATATATAATTTTGATGTAAAGTAAATTATTAATTATTCTGTTGTTAGCTTAGATAATTTATGATTGCTAAATAATTACCATTCTAAGTACACGTGCAGCAATGGGATTAGTTTTCATTAAATTGAATACTCTAACCCTTTTATTTCTTGCATGACGTATGACAGCCTTCATAAGTTAAAAATATTTTAATTAATATACAATTCAAATTTTAATAAACTATATATTTTTTTTCTATATTTGTACTTGGCAGAAGTGAAAATAACATCCTTGATGTTGACTTTCTGGGAATACAATTTTTACTGCATTGATGAGACCAAACTCAAAATCAGTTATTATTATGACATTGTTGTATACTAAAGGCAGCACATTTCTTATGTATAACAACAATGCCACATAAATCTCTTGAGTTTTCCCAGTCAAAAGAGCATGTACTAGCGGAAAAGTCTATTACAAAATATTACAGAATAGTTTATCAATTTATTAATTAATTAAATAGGTAAATTATTGCCATTAATTGAAACTTACAACATTTTTATAAATCACGTGAAAACTGAATAATTGATTAACACTATTTTCTAAAAACTTTGGTACGACTTTAAAGGTGCCATCACATCCAGCAACACGGACCTATTTATACAAAACAATGAATTAATGCAGTTAGCTGTGAAGAATTCTTATTAAATAAACATACATTTTGTAATTCTGGCATTATTTCCTCAATATTTGCTGTATTGCAAAACAACAACCCCTCAATGTTGCCATTCACCATTAGTGGACCTTGATAAAACCTACAAAAATATGGTAAATTATTTAATTTTTCTATAAATATAGAAATACAATTTTACCTTTTAGGCGGTTCTTGGAATGTATGTGCAAACTGGCTGTTATCTTTTTCTATCATTAACGTGTGTAGATGGCTCACATTTTGAGGAGTTGGTGGAAAACAACTACGCCTCATACGACGCATTCTCTCCGAAGCTTGTATGAAGGTGTAATTAAGAGCACCATTAGGGTAACTAATAAATAGATTGATCTCATTTATAATTATTTAAATTTAGTAATAAAGTAATTATTAGTATTAGTATA